TTACCTCCCTTTCCAGAATCCATCACCTTACATTTTAACTCTGCCACCCCTATTGCCCTGAGCTCTCCTCAGTCTCTCCTCCTTCTCTTTAGCCTCTCTCCTGCTCCCCACATGTCCCTGTCACCCTTAATCTCCTCTAACACCACACATTCCCCTGAATCCCCCCCATCTCCTTCACCACACCATGTTATCTTGCTTCTCAGCCTCTTCCTGCATCCCCTTCAGATTCCCTTCCTGCACCCCACAGTCTCCTACCACACTCCTTCAGCCTCCCTCCTGTTGCCCACATTTCCTACATTGCTCTTAGCACCCTGTCCAACCTCCCTAGAGCTATAGCCATCTTCCCTGAGGGCAGCCTGGCTTCAGTTCCATTTAAAAGAATGGGGATTAGTGGCCACTTTACTAGGGCAGCCTTACTTCCCCATGCAATTATGACTGTATTGACTGAGGATAGGTTGGCTTTAGCCCCATTGAAAGTAATGAGAGATGGTGGCCATTTTGAATAAGGGAATATTTAAAAGAGTTATGCCAGCATTTTTAAGATCATTGTGTGGAATCTTTTTTTTAAAGTCTCATGTATCTGAGCTGGTAACACTGCAGTATCAACAGAACCATTCCAGGCAAGATGTGCTGTCACTAAAAATCCCCAAAGTGTCTCATTCTTAGAACATGAAGTGATTGTTTTAGCAAGCAGAAGCAATGTCATTAGAAGCAAGAAGTGGCAACCACACCAGCAAATAACATGACAGACAGGAAGATACCACTCAGTGAGAACTGCCAACAGAAAGTGACATAATTAGCATGACGGCATAGTGCAGCACAGATGTGATGCAGACAAGGTCTCTTATTAAGTGGGTATCATGAGCTCTGTCCATTTTGAGCGCTGGTTTTGCTTTTTTTGATCTCTTGATCCCTGTCTCTATACCTCTTAGTGACAGACACGCGAATGTCAGATGAGATTGTCCACAACCTGGATGGCTGCGAGATCTCCCTGGTGGGAGATGACCTGGACCCAGAGAGGGAATACCTGATCCTGGATGGAGCATCCCTGCAGCAGCGGGGCCTGGAGCTCATCAACACCTCTGCCTACTTCACCATCACAGGTAGACTCTCCCCCAGACAGGACTTCCTGTTTCCTGTCTCCTCCACTTCCTGCCAGTCACAGCCAAAAGAATTGCTTGCCAGATGTTAGAGATGGAGAAGCCTCATTACGCTGACTGAGACCAGGGGAGGATTTGTCCTGTCCATCCGTTCCCTGGACTCTTGGTTCTTAGTGTCCTGAGTGATAGGGCTCTGGGTCTGGAAAGGGAGGCGTTACCCCAGGCTCACAGGGCTGCGGTGCGGGATCTGAGTTCCTTTCCTTTGATTCAGTTGTACTCTGCTCCCCTCCCCTTGTGGTCTGCACTTCTCCATTCCAGAAGTGTTTCCCATGTTGCCTCTGGGTGGCAGTGGATCCCACTGGTTGTGTGCAGGTGCATTTCCTAGTGGGGGTTTGGAATCCGACATGTGTGACTGTGGCTGCTGGACCCCACCTTACCTTCCCTGGACATTAATGACAGACACTAGGGATTTCCTGGGCCCTTTGAGGTTGCAGACACCTCAAGGGAGCCACACCTAGCTCCGCTCCCTTTTAGGTATGAGCCTGGTTTGTCCTTCCCACACAACTTTTCTTTAGGCTCAACAGTGTTGTGTCAGGTGGACCTTGATCATTTGGAAATGGAAGCTCCCTTACCCCACACCTGAATCTGTCTCTCTCTACCCCTGGCCCCAGGCGTGGAGAGCATTGCGGTGTATGAGGAGATCCTCCGCCAGGTCTCATACCACATCAGACATGGCACTGCCCTCTATGAGAGGAAATTCTGCCTTTCCTGCACCGAGATGAATGGACGCTACTCCAGCAATGAGTTTATTGTTGAGGTACAAGGCCATCAATGACTGTGTACGTGTGAAGGCCTGATCTCATTAAATCCAGAGACTGAATCTCTTCCTCTTCCCCTTCCACAGGTGAATGTCCTCCACAATATGAACCGGGCTGCTCATCCTAACCACATCCTCAATTCCCAGCAATTCATGCACCGAGGTCACCATCTACCAGAACTATCTGGGCACAGCCTGACCAACGTCCATCACAACTCCAGTATGCAACCCTGATGATCTGGTGACAGCCTACATGCAGAATTACCCCAGGGGCAGATTTGTGTAGAAACCTACAGTGACTCCCTGCTGGCATGTCAGGACTGACCCCAGTACTAGGCAGCACTGTGCTGCAAGGAGTGGTGTGATTGACTAAGCAGGGGGTGCTCTCCCCCGGAGTCAGGGCTGGCTCTGGTGTGGAGCTAAGGAAGAGGTGACGTTCAGATGAAATTTAAATCTGAAGCAACAGCTTCTCATGGTCACTGCAGATCTCCTCTCACTATTTCCCTGAGTCAGGTTATAAACCCTGGGCTCCTGGCAAAACCCAATACTGGGTGATTCCTTTCTGTCTCCGTATCCTCCCGTCTTAGTTTTAATCACCTAGAAGATTCTTCTTGGCTTTCTGTCACATACTGTCATTCATCAACTCCCAGAACTCAGTCCAGAAGTGGCTGCATTTTAATGCTTGGTGTAGTGGTTCATGAGGTTGGTTGATGTGCGTAATAGTCCTTTGAGATCCTCTTCCAGACAGGGCTAAGAAGAGTGGAGTGGCTGGGACTGCTTCATTTTACATTTCTCACAGGTTAAAGGCGAGACAGTCTGGGAACCTTTGTTTGGTCAGATGTTTGTAACCTCCTTATCCCTCCCCCTCCAGTGGTCCCCAGTGCAGCCACCATCATCATCGTGGTGTGTGTGGGCTTCTTGGCACTCATGGTCATCCTGGGCATCCTGCGTATCCACTCCCTACACCGCCAGGGGGCTGGGCACGAGGCTGCAGGGGCTGCTGGGGAAGGCCATGCAGGAGCCAGCAGCAAGGAGAGTGACATGTTCTGGGATGACTCAGCCCTCACCATCATCGTCAACCCCATGGAGGTGAGATGGGACGAGGAAGGTGGGGATGGTTTCTGGTTGGCAATTGATGCTCTACGCCAGAGGCAGGCAAACTTTTTGGCCTGAGGGCTGCATTGGGTTTGGAATATTGTATGGAGGGCTGGTTAGGGGAGGGGAGTGTGGTGTGGCCTGCCCCCCCCATTCCTCTCCCGCTTCTCACCCCCTGACAGCCCTCCCCCAGGACCCCTGCCCCACCCAACCACCCCTTCTCTGTCCCCTGACCGCCCCCGGAACCCCTGACCGACCCCCCAGCCAACCCCCCCTTTCCTTCCTTACTGCCCCCCCCAGGACCCCTGCCCCATCTAACAACCCCTTCTCCCTGTCCCCTGACTGCCCCCGGAACCCCTGCCCCTGACTGCCCCCTGCCGCCTTATCCAATCCCCCCTCTCCTTCCTGACTGCCCACCCTGGGACCCCTGCCCCCATTCAACCCCTCTGTTCCCTGTCCCAACTGCCCCCTGCTGCCCTATCCAACCCCCCTCCTTCCTGATTGCCCCCCAAGACCCCTTCCCCCATTCAACCTCCCTGTTCCCCACCCTCTGACCACCCCCCTGAACTCTCCTGCCCTCTATCCAACCCACCCTGCTCCCTGCCCCCTTACCGTGCAGCACAGAGCACCAGGTTAGGCCGGGCTCTGCAGCTGCGCTGCCCCAGGAGCTCGCAGCCCCCACCTGGAGCATTGCATCAGCAGCGCAGTGAGCTGAGGCTAGGGGCGGGGATGAGCCTCGCAGGCCAGGGGCTCAGGGGCCAGGCAAGAGGGTCCCGCGGGCCGTAGTTTGCCCACCTCTACTCTAAGCCCTCTACTTACCCCCATGCCCCTTCTTCCCAGTCATACCAGAGCTGCCAGAGGAGGCCAGCAGCAAATGGGGAGACCAGAGCTGTAGAGGAAGTGGAGGAGGAGGATGACGACAGCAGCGACTCAGACACACCGGACACCCCAGGCAGTGATGACGGAGATGACCAGCACATTGTGGGCAAAAGAGATGGCCCCTGCTGCTACTAGGAGCCCTGTGCTGTGGGAGGAGGGAAGAGAGGATGCTAAACAGATAGATTCCCCACCACCATCACCCAGCCTGAGGGGGTCACTGCCCTCTTCCCCTTTTTCTCTCTCCTTGTGTATATAAATACACATTTCCCACAACCCCCCTAATTTCTCTTGCCTGTTTCCTCTTCCTCTGCCATTTTCACTAGGGGGATGGCACTTTCTACTCTTAACCCCTCTCTTCTTCTCCATAGCACCCCAGGAACACAGGCTGGGGCATGGGCTCCTTGCCCATACTCCCTCACATTAGGTCCCTCTCCTGAGGATGGGATAGTATAGGGACCCATGTGAAGGGAGTGGAGCGTTTAGGAGCAGCAGGGAAGAAGAAAACACCCACCAGCAAGGGTTGGGCAAGCGGGGTCAGCTGCAGGCCCCCACATATTATATATATATATATTGTATATTTTTTCAATGTTGTCATTTGAGGTTTATTCTTGTTTGATGCAAAAAACAAAAACAAAAAAAAACCCCACAAACCTGCAGCTTGTGTCGCTTTGTAAAATTGTCAATAACCCTAAACAAGTGAAGGAAGGAGGGAACGAGGTGGATTTTAAAATAAAAGGATTTAAAAAAAACAGACTCAAGGCCTCTGGGATTCTTCATTCTGAAAGGCAGAGGCTGGAGTGGGTACTTGAAGGGCAGCAGTTAGCCATATAGGCCCTCTTGACTGGCAAAATGGCATGATTTTCCAGCCTGTTACCTCCATTTAGGTAGCTGAAAACCTTAGACATTTGGTCCACAGCAGGGCCTTAGTTTTAGACAGTCTGGTCCCCCCGCAGTGGGTTCAAGGAGGTTGGGGGATTAGTCCCTCAGATACAGACTAAATTGAAAACATCAAATCTTATTTTTTCCCCATACACTTAAGTGTATTAACAAATCCCTCAACTTCAACGCTTGCATCCACCCTCTAAATGACATTCACAGGCACAAAACAGTATATTTCACACACCAGGAATCCAGCTTGGTTTTTATATCTACTGTTCCTCATGTCACAGTAGAGGAAGGCAGAGCTGGGCCCTTGCAGGCTCCTTCCCTGCAAAGAACACACTTGAGAGAGGGATAGATGGGGCCTATAGTAACATAAGCTGCCCAGGCCAGAGCTCCCCCTGCCAGGATGCATCCTGCTTCTCTTGATACATGGGGCTGAGTTCTAACCCACTACCCTGGCCTCTCTTAAGGAGGGGAAAAAGGCAGAGTTAACTGCTCAGCTGTATGATTCTTTCCACAGGTGATTGCTCCCTTAAGGAGATGATGTAAGATGCCTGCTAAGTACCATGCACTAGGATGTCTATCAGTCAGGCTTGGAGAATCCTTTGGAAGAAGATAGAGTTGTAGGGGCTAGGACTCTGTATAGAGACCCTGACTATGTGTAGAATCCCAGGGAGTAGCTGAAGGAGTAGCAAAATCTGTTTGCTGCATCAGTTTCTTCAGATTTGTTTACTCTCCCTATCCACTGACTGACTACATGTCCAGCTACGCCCATAGGCCAAGCCCAAGAAGAGTAGAGCTCCTGGGGCTGTTAACTATACATGTACTTTCTAGTGATGGGGATGGCCAGCTAGGGAATATATAAACATTTATTTATCCTCCTCTCTCTTTCTCCACTGCACTCCATGCTCTTGGGCTTTGCACTAGGATCCCCCACTGAACATATTCTAGCTGGTTTACTGCCTCCTTAGAGCATCAGACCAGTTACACTTTCTGGAGGTTGATGCTAGAGGCTACGCACCATCCAGAACCACCACTCTGGCCTGAGAACTCTGCATCCTGACAGTAGACTGCCACACACAAGTTCATCACCACACAGGCCTCCTGCTACAGAGTGAGCAGCACTACCTTGTGGAACAGGAAAAACATGTCAGGTTACAAGACCTTGGCTCTCCCATGCACAGCCAGCAGCCTCAACAAGGGGCTGGTGCATTTGTGCAGGGTCACAGTTTGGTGGCCAAGTGGATGATCAGTTCATAGGTAGCCATCATGATAGCTGTGTTGGGGATCTGGCGCATCATCTGGGCCAGGAGTCCTCGGTACAGAGCCAGGGGTCCCTCTTCTTGGGCCACCAGCCGCAGGGTCTGCAGAAAGGAGCGATAACGGGACCCCTCTTCCCGCAGCCGTGTCCGGACAACCTCTGGGAAAACAAAGGGATGGGACTTTAGCAGAGTCACCCTCCAGGCCAGGCCTCTCCCAGTAGGAGGGTGGTGGAGGGGAGGATGGAGAGCTCACCGTGTGGGTATGCAATACATGAGGCACATGTCTTGGAGATGGCAGCAGCTGCCATGAGTCCAAAGAAATCATGGCTGTTAGGTGCAAGTGCAAAGGCTGTTGGGAGGAATGGCTGTTGCTCCCGCAGCTGTTGTTTCAGCGCCTCATAGATGACAAAATGGATGACTGTCTCGGAGACTCCAGCGTAGGAGGCACTGATTCCACGGTAAAATCCACGCAGGCCCTCAGTGCGGTACACTCGTATGGCACACTGGAGGGCATTACTCTGCTTCTCCCCCCTTGCCCTGCAGAGACCAAGGGGGGATTAGAATCATCCACACACAGCTCTGCCACTGCCCCTCAATACTGATCAACAGCACATCCCCCACCCCTGCCAAAACATATACCCCTTGTTATTCCTGGCCTGGGTATGTCGCAGCTGTGTTTGGAAGCTCATTAATAACTGCTACTTTTCCAGTGTCCTGAAAGCACACATTCTGTCAGTGGGTCACCCCCAGCCCCATGCAGTCTGTGTGCACACACGTGTGTGCGCTACCTTCCTTACCTGGCTTCCAGCTGCATCCTGGTTTTCACCAGCCAGATGGGATTGGTAAGTGTGGCGGAGGTGACCCCTAGGGAGTAGAAGGTCAGAGGTCATGACAGGTACCAGAGTGGTGCTACAACAGTGCAGACAGTTTGTGGGGAGTTACTGGTGGGTTAGCTCTTTGAATGCTAATTAATCTGCAGCTGTGTACCAATTTGGGCATAGTTTGGGGGTCCCCTGGAAGTGCTCTACTGGGAGTGAAGAGTTCTAAGGTGAAGCCTGTTTGGCTCTGCTTCCCCTTACTGGGAGCCACCCATCCTGTGCACACCTCTGTATTTGGCACTGGTACAACCACAGCTGGAATACTGTGTCCTGGTCTGGTGTCCATAATTCAAGGAGGTTGATACATTGGAGCGTGCTCAGAGAAGAGCCAGGAGAACAATTAAAGGATTAGAAAACCTGTTTTACAGTGAGTGACTCAAGGAGCTCAATCTGATAATCTTAACAAAGGGTAGGTTGAGGGGTGACTTGATCACAATTTATAAGTATTTACATGGGGAAGAAATATTTAATAATGGGCTCCTCAGTCTGGCAGAGAAAGGTCCCATGGCTATAAATTGAAGCTAGACAAATTCATATGGCAAATAAGGCGTAATAACCATGAGGGTAATTAACCACTGGAACAATTTAGCAGAGGTCCTGGTCCTTGAGAGGTCCTTGACCATTTTTAAATCAAGATGGGATGTTTTTCTAAAATATGTGTTCTAGGAATTATTTTTGGGACATTCTGGCCTGTGTTATGCAGAAAGTCAGATGAGATGATCACAATGGTCCCTTCTGGCTTTGAAAACTATGAATCTCATGGGTTTCATTATAGCCTCATTTCCCCCACCCCTGGTGCCTGGAACCAGAAAGAAGGAGGCTGAACCTGGAAGGAGAGGCAGGAAACAATGAGACTTGCTGAGGACAGAGGGTCTCATTAGAGCAGAGGTCAGCAACCTTTTAGAAGTGGTGTGCCCAGTCTTCATTTATTCACTTTAATTTAAGGTTTCGTGGGCCAATAATACATTAACGATTTTTAGAAGGTCTCTCTCTATAAGTCTCTATATTACATAACCAAACTGTTGTCGTACATAAACAAGGTTTTCAAAATGTTTAAGAAGCTTCATTTAAAATTAAATTAAAATGCTGATCTTACACCACCGGCCTGCTCAGCCCGCTGCCTAGGCCAGTGGGCTGAGCAGTTCAGCCCGCTGGCAGTCTGGGGTTCCGTCCGCGGGCTCCTGCCAGCCAGGGTCCCGGCTGCTGGCCCCCCTCAGCCCACTGCCGGTCTGGGGTCCCAGCCCTGTCCATATAGAGTAGGTACCTACCTTCTCCCTGGTTCTAGCCATTCTCTTCCACTCTCTGCACTGAGATGAGGGTGGAAGTGTGCTGAGAACAGGGCTGGGGGTGAAGAAGCCGCCTGGGGGTTGGGGTGCAGAGTCTGGCCAGGAGCTAGAATGAGGGAGGGAGCTCAGGGTTGGGGCAGGAGGTTTGGGTGTGGAGCGCTTACCTGGGCAGCTCCCACTTGGTGCGAGGGGTGCAGGTGGGAATGTGGGGGGTGTGTGTGCAGGAGCTCCCGTTTGGTGCTCAGGGTGGAGTGGGGATATGGGGGGTGCAAGAGTCAGGACATGGGGTGTGGGGGGGCTGGGTATGTATCGGGGGTGCCGGAGTCAGGGCTGGGGTCGTGGGGGTGCTCCCAGCCCCCTACCCTGAGCAGCTCACGGCAGGGGACTGGAGGGGATATACTGATTCCACCCCCTTCCCCAAGGTCCCTGGAGCAGAGAGCACGCTCCACTTTTCCCTTGCCCCTCTGTAGCAAGGGCAGTCAGCTGATCGGCTGCAGGGAGGGAGAGGAGGAGGGGCAGGAACCCAGCACGCTGGGGGAAGAAGCAGGGGGAGGGGGAAGCTTGCATGCCCTGCAAGGAGAGAGCGGTGGGCGGGGGGTGGAGAAGAGCGGGCCAGGCAGGGTAGGATTTTTAATGGCAGGGTGCTGTCTGCTGGGGTAGGCAGACAGCAGTGTGCCATTAAAAATTGGCTCACGTGCCATCTTTGGCACGCGTGCCACAGGTTGCTGACCCCTGCACTAGAGAAAGGGAAGACAACAGGAGTAGGAAAGGCAGTGGGACTGCTGAGATTGTGTGTGTCGGTTAAGTTACCTGGGTCCCCTGTAGGGTACCCTGTTTCCCAAGGCAATCAAAGAGCTAATGTAGTGATACTCAGACTGAGGCTTCTGAGCCGCAAGTGGCTCTGTAGTGTCTCCTGAAGCTCTTTGCAGCGCACGATATTAAAACACTGGATTTAATTATTAACCAATCAGGATGCCTTTACTAGGTTATTAACCAATTGTAGTTGATAAAATAATAGTGGGTCAGTCATTTTGCTGTGAGAATTATATCTTAAAAAAACTAAATATTTCCCATCATACTGTTTAAATATGAATCTACAGCACTATAGTAAATGAAATGATGAAGTGGCTTTTTTGGGTAAGGTTGATGGCTAATTTGGCTCCTGAACCCCACTGAGGTCTGAGCATCACTGGGCTAAGGCCTAGATCATTGACACTGAGAAGCAACATCAGGTGAATTAATAGAGATTGTTTCTGTTGTGTTTCACTGACCTAGAAAGCTGCTGCAGCAGGATGAGGTGGGAGAAAGAGCTTCAGAAGGGCTAACAAAGAAATGAGGGGATTATGTGAATGAGAATGGCCTGAGCAGTGACCCCAGATGGTCAAATACGCTCATGTTTACAGGGATCCCAGGCTGAATGGGCCCACTGGTCTAATCCGACATTGGAGAAGCTCACCTGCACAGACTGCCGAGAGCACATGAACTTTCTTGGACTCAGGTCTGAAGACAACATTGAGCTTCTCCTTAGCCCCAGCATAGGCAGCAAAATAGATGGCCCTGGTTGGGGAGAGACATACACGTCCAGTAGGAATCCACCCGAGAGGAGTAACAGAAGCATAAAGGGACCTTGTTTCCACATAACTTAGCCCAGACAGACCCTGCACTGAGGATACCTCAGACAACAGCCACACGTGTCAACCCAAGCCTCACAAGGCATGGTGAGGGGCCTCCATTGAGTGTCCCCATGGAGGGGCCAGAGACTGCACTGTACCCAGGGCCTGGACACTGTGGGGAGGTGGGGCAGTGACTGGTAAGGACCCTAGGAGAGTGTACCCTAGTGAGACCCTATTTGGGGGGGGGGATATCCTCACTGAGTGATTCTTACCTGGACGGGGCGACTCCAACAAGGTTGGGACCCAGGCCTCGGAAGAGGGAGCGGATTCCTTCCTTCTCCAGGATGGCCCTGTGGAAGAAAGGAATAAATAAAATCAGAGAAGGAGTGGGACCAGGCTGTCTGCTCTCCTAGTCCTCCTTCCCCTCCGTTTGTCCCTACCAGCCCTTCCGCTTTCTCTGCATCTCATTCTCTCTGCATCTCTCCCTGGCCTCCTTCCTCTCGCTCCTTTCCTCCACATTTATCTTGCTCCCCCCATTTTCTGTTCAGCCACTTCTTCACTCTCCCCTCAGTATTTCTTCATTTCCCCCAATTTACCTGCACAATCCAGAATCTGTTTATTCTCCACCAGCTGTGACCTTTGTCCCAGCCCCAGCAGCTGCCTCTCAGAGCTTACCTTCATGTCAGTGCTGCACCAGTACCACTGTAGTGCTTTACTGAAGATGCTACTATTCCAACAGCAAGAGCTTCTCCTGTCAGTGTAGTTAATCCACCTTCGTGAGAGGTGGTAGCTATGTCAATGAGAGAAGCTCTCCGACTGTCACAGTTCTGTCTACACCTGGGGTTAGGTCAGCATAACTGTGGCTCAGGGTGTCCGACACAGGTCTGTAGTAAAGACCTGGCCTCAGACTGAGAGGGTATGTCTACACTGCAATCAGATACCCACGGCTGGCCCCTGCCAGCTGACTCAGGCTTGTGGGGCTCTAGCTAGGGTGTAGACACTGCAGCTCAGGCTGCAACCCAGGCTCTGGGACCTTTCCACCCCACAGGGTCCTAGAGCTGAGACTCCAGCCCAAACCTGGACATCTACACTGCAATTAAACAGCTCCATGAGCCCAAGTCAGCTGGTATGGACCAGCTGTGGGTGTCTGACTGTAGTGTAGACATACACATAGCTGAGAGAGACAGGAAGCACACTGAGACACACCGAGACACACCCTGTGCCCTGAAGCCCTTTCCTCCATGGCTTTCATCTCTAAGTCCCACTTCCATCCCCCACCCTTCTCCAATTGCTGGCTGGCTCTCCCAGCCTGAACCCCTCATGCTGCTAAATTGCACATGCAAGTAACCCTTGTGACATTATTGACATGAACTGTGACTGTATAGATCATTGTTACAACCAGGGTCCTATGGTTGCATCAGGTCTTGTACAGAGGGGGTCAAGTGGGATGTTTATGGAAAGGTTGTAGTTTGCTGGTTATGATTATGCTGTCTGTATGGGGGTATCATTTTTGTATTTGAAGTTATGAATATTGGCTATGTACTTGTGTTTGACTATGTACAATGTGTTTGATTCTAAGTTGCCTCAGTGAAGCATTTAGTCAGCTTACTGAGAATAGTCCTCTCTCAGGAAGCGCCCACTCAAGAAACACTTAACTGACAATGGACTTTGGGAGACGCCAATCCACATCTGAGCTTTCCTGGGAAGGTTCAAAGTAACATGTAAACAGTGGCGTCAGCTTGCAAAAAGCTGAATCATTCATGGACATGTGACTTGCCCAGGTAGCTACAAACTCCATCTTGTTGCTGTGATTTTGCACAGGAGAACAAAGGGGTTTTCACCCACAAGAGAAGAATATAAAAGACCCTGGAAAGCCCTCCATTTTGTCTTCAGCTGGCTCAAGGGATGGCTTCTCCACCCCAGAGGGATGCCTGAAAGAAACTGGAACAAAGGACAGTAACTACGGGGGTGTTAGTGATTGCTGGACCCAGACTAGGAAGGAGTCCAAACTATGAAAGAAGCTTATTGGAACATCTCTGGGGGTGAGATTTCATCTGTAATCAGTTTCTTTATGTATTAGGTTTAGATTTACGTGTTCTGTTTTATTTTGCTTGGTAACTTACTTTGTTCGGTCTGTTATTACTTGGAACCACTTAAATCCTACTTTTTATATTTAATAAAATCAATTTTGCTTATTAATTAACCCAGAGTAAGTAACTGATACCTGGGGGAGAGAACAGCTGTGCATCTCTCTATCAGGGTTACAGAGGGCAGACAATTTAGGAGTTTACCCTGTATAAGCTTTATGCAGAGTAAAAGAGATTCATTGGGGGTTTGGATCCCATTGGGAGTTGGGTGTCTGGGTGCTGGAGACAGCAGCACTTCTTAAGCTGTTTTCAGTTAAGTCTGCAGGTTCAGGCCCTGGGTCTGTGTTGCAGCGGGCTAGCATGTCTGGCTCAACAAGGCAGGGTTCCTAAGTCCCAAGCTGGCAGGGAAAACGGGCTCAGAGGTAGTCTCAGCACATCAGATGACAGTCCCAAGGGGGACTCTGTGACCGAACCTGTCACCCCCCTCCCCAGCTCACCTCATCAGCTGTAGCACGCCAGGTGAGGGTGAGGCTGGACGCACAAACCCCCCATTCAGCCCCTGCAGCTGCATCTCAGGAAGGCAGAGAGGGCGCAGGGCCAACGAGGATGACTGCAGACGTGTCTTCACCACTTCCAGGGGGCAGGTCAGGATGGCTCCAGCTGTGCCACCACATCTGGGGAGACAGCGAGGGCAGATTGGAGTGAACAAGAGTTACTCCTCAGGAACAGGGGGCAGCAGCTCTGACCTCCCCTGCATTGTTTCCCTGTTGTCCAGGCCCTCTGGCCTTTGTCACGTGTGGCCTCTGGCTCCGGCACTAATTAACGTGCTGGCTCTAACAGCTCCTGGCCAGTCCTGCTCAGGTATCAGCATCTGAGAGACGCTAAGTCCAGGGAGAGGACTCAAACTCACGACCTTTGCACCGGAGCTGCCCACAGCAAATAGCTCAGCTGCCCAGTCCCACCACAGGACTTTGCTGATAATGTCAGCAGCTGACTTGACAGCCCTGAAGAGGGTATGATCTGCAGGTCCGCAGAGCAGATTCACTCCCTGCATTAGCAGGGCCAGTGCCCACATTTTGTCCACATGCCTCAGCTTGCCATGGAGGAACCCCCCTTTTAGTCTGGAACCCATTAACTCCTGGGCAATTGCTGAAGCTGCCACTGAAGAAGCCAGTTAGTAACAATTGCACTTGTCCCACCAGGCCTGGGCTGACATCCACCAAACTGGTTTATAACATAAAAGCCACTAATGGCTTATGTGACTTGTGGTCACTATTGACCCAGGGCCAGACAGGCTCTGATGCCCTAGAGAAGAATGGGATACAGGGACTTTCTCCAGTCCCTTTGAGGCAGACAGACCCCATAATATAAGGCCAGACTAGAATCAGAAAAATCGGAAGGCCCCATAGTCCATGCCCATGGTTTGTCCGTTCAGGGCCTTTGGATGAGTCTGGCTTGTTTGCACCCCAAAAGACTTGTTTACAGAGATGAATTCTAGCTGGTGACCCTGGCCCTTAGTAGTGGTGGGTGGGGCAAGGGGAGTTGAGAAGCTGACAGATTTTTCTTGGGATTGGGATTTTTAAATCTCTTTCTCCGAGTACCTGAACATTTTGCCCTCCACTTTGTGTCCAAAGGCACATGGAGGGTAAAATTCTAAGCAGAGGGCCCAGGGAGAGAGGCAGCATGATGGGTATTTGAGGTAACAGCCTAAGAGATCTGATGATTCAAACTGATACTTATAGAGGAAGTTACCCAGTAACGTCAGATCTAGTGTGGGGAGCCTCAGAGTGGGAAGCAGAGAATGGCTGACGGGCATCAATAGAGCTGTGTGAGGGCAGAGGATTGCAATACCATGGGGTCTGATCTCTATGGCTGGAGTTCTGAAGAATGGTTTGACCCAGTCGGGGGAGGAGACGGACAGAGGCGCACCCTGGAGGGTCAGCCTTGCAAACTATACCTCTCCCCTTCCAACCCCACGTTCCCTGTCCCCTGCGTCCTCTCCCCCCTTCCTCCTCTCCCCCCTTCCTCCATCGCTGTCTCTCCTTCCCTCCTCCTCCTCTCCAGCATTTTCCTCCCTCGCTCCCTCCCCAGAGACAAGGGAAGTGCCTGGGAAATGCAACCGAGGCAGGCAGGTCGCCAGAGAGCCAGCCCTGCTCGCTCATGAGAAGATGCGCTCAGCCTCAAGTCCAGGGTACGGGCTTGTGATAAAGTGCAGGCAGCCACACCTTGCCGCGGACCTCTCCCCGGCAGAGGGAAGCTGGAAGTTTCCCATGGGGGCGATTCCCAAGCCCTCTGATTCCGGCTCCTTGATTTATTTGCCCAGAAGTTTTCCCTGCCAGGAGGAAGGAACCAAAGATGAACCCTCCTTGCGTGCACAGCTGGGTTGCCATGAGGCAACCTGCGCACAGAATGGGACAGAGCTGCCCAATGTAGTGTGTGAAAGAGACAGAGAACAAGGGAGACCCGGGTACAGGGGAAGGCGGCTTAGGGGAAAGGATCGAACTGCGCCCCATCCCATTTTGGATGAAGCAAAAAAAATATTGGGGGGCACCGCTTTTTAGCGCCCCCACATCTTGGGGCCCTAGGCAGCTGCCGAGTTTGCCTAGTGGTTATACCGGCCCTGCCTGCAGTTGAAATGGTTAAAAACTGTAATGACATCAAATGCGGACAGCAACTCCTGCAGTGAGCAGGGCTGCCCATTGCATAAGTACTGCATTCTAGCCCTATCTTCCCATATTATTTTTGGCTTGGTAAGAACGGTCCCATCATGGCACCTGATGTCTTTCAGTGTCATCAGCAGCAGTTACAGCTGGCAGGAGCCTGGGGATTGGATACAATTTAGCTAGAGAGCCAGTATCAGGTTCAAAAGGCAACTCTGGGACACCCAGTTCAGGGTGGTATGGAGAACTCAGTTGAACAGCCTGACAACATATGAGACCCAAAAGTCAGCCCCACCTGGGTCCCATGTCAGATCATTGAGTGTTGTACAGTCTGGAGGGCTCGGAAGTAAATCTTGATAGTCATTTAGGGCATCAGAGCAAGGAGTTAAATAGCAAAAGGCACATGGGCAAAAATAAAACCTATCAATGCATCTATACCGAGTGGAGAAGCCTGAAGACAAAAGTTAGGTGAACTACAATGCCAGGCTATGGAAGAGGAGCTTATTGTCAGAGGCATTACTGAAACACAGATGACTTACAAATCAATGAGATACCACAGTTAAGGCTAAGATTGTGTCACAGAATCTGTGACTTCCAGAGACCTCTGTGCATTTTCTGCTTCATCCCTGCCATGGGCAGACTCTGCAACTCCCAGCCACCGTGTGTAGGACCCCAGAGCCGCAGCAGGGGTTGGTGATGGACCCCCACTCCCTCCCTTCCCATTTTGTCAATTATTTTTAGTAAGAGTCAGGGACAGGTCATAGGCTTCCGTTAATTTTTGTTTATTGCCCATGACCTTCACTAAAAATAACCGTGACAAAAATCTTAGCCTTAACCATAATACCTGGCTATGAACTATATGCAGAGGACAGATGTCATAACCATACAGCCAAGAGTAGCCTAGAATTCCCCCTTACCTATAAGGGATTAAGAAGCTCAAATAACCTGGTTGGCACCTGACCAAAAGAACCAATGGGGAAAGAAGATACTTTCAAATGGTGGGGGGGCAGAGGGGGGAGAGAGAGAAGAAGAAGCTTTGTTTGTGCTTTTTATTTGTGTGTTTTTTCTGCACTGGGGGGAGTCAGTCAGAAATCCATCTCCTCCAAAAAATCCTGAACCAGTCTCTAATATTAAAAAAAAAAAGTAAGTAAAAGCCAGGCAAGGTGTGTTCGATTATCTTTTGTTTTAGCTTGTGACTTTTCCCTTTGCTGTAGGGAGGTTTATTCCTGTATTTTGTAACTTTGAAACTAAGCGTAGAGGGAGTTCCTCTGTGTTTTTGAATCTTTTGTTACCCTGTAAAGTTTTCTTCCATCCTGATTTTACAGGAGGTGATTCTTTTACCTTTTCTTTAAATAAAATTCTTCTAAGAACCTGATTGATTTTCAGTGTCATCAAGACCCAGGAGTTTGGGTCTGTGATCACTTGTAACCAAATTGGTTAGGACAGGGGTCAGCACCAATGAAAAGTGGTGTGCCGAGTCTTCATTTATTCAATTTAAAGTTTCGCGTGCCAATAATACATTTTAACGTTTTTTAGAAGGTCTCTCTCTATAAACCTATATATTATAACACTCAACTATTGTCGTATGTAAACAAGGTTTTCAAAATGTTTAAGAAGCTTCATCTAAAATTAAATTAAAATGCTGATCTTACGCAGCCGGCCTGCTCAGCCTGTTGCCGGCCTGGGGTTCCGTTCAACTTAGGCTGGAAGTGGGCTGAGCGGGGCCTGCGGCCAGGACCCCAGCTGGCAAGGGGCCGGCAGCCAGAACCCCAGACCGGCAGTGGGCTGAGCGGGGCCAGTGGCCGGGACCCCAGACTGGCAATGGGCTGAGCAGCTCAGCCTGCTGCCACTCGGCCCACTGCCAGTCTGGGTTCCGTCCGCCGGCTCCTGCCAACCAGGGTCCCGGCTGCTGGCCCCCCTCAGCCCTGTCCACATAGAGTAGGTACCTACCTTCTCCCTGGTTCTAGCCATTCTCTTCCTCTCTCTGCACTGAGATGAGGGTGGGAGTGTACTAAAAACAGGGCTGGGGGTGAAGGAGCAGGCTGGGGGTTGGGGTGCAGGGTCTGGCCAGGAGCTAGAATGAGGGAGGGGGCTCAGGGTTGGGGCAGGAGGTTTGGGTGTGGAGCGCTTACCTGGGCAGCTCCCATTTGGTGCGAGGGGTGCAGGTGGGAATTTGGGGGGGTGTGTGTGTGTGCAGGAGCTCCCGTTTGGTGCTCAGGGTGGGAGTGGGGATGTGGGGGGTGCAAGAGTCAGGGCATGAGGTGTGGGTGGGCTGGGTATGTGTGAGGAGGGTGCAGGAGTCAGGACAGGGGGCTGGGGGGGGCTGGATATGTGTGGGGGGTGCTGGAGTCAGGGCTGGGGTTGTGGGGTGGGGTGGGGGGGTGCAGAGGTCAGGGCAGAGGGCTGGGTGTGTGTGCGGGGTGGGGGGGGTGCAGCGGTCAGGGCAGAGGGCTGGGGTCATGGGGGTGCTCCCATCCCCCAGGGGGCTGGAGGGGATATGCCGATTCCACCCCCTTCCCCAAGGTCCCCGGAGCAGAGAGCGCGCTGTGGCTCCGCTTTTCCCTCCCCCGCTTTTCCCTCTCCCCCTCCGTAGCAAGGGCCATCAGCTGATCGGCCACAGGGAGGGAGAAGAGGAGGGGCAGGAACCCAGCACGCTGGGGGAAGCGGCGGGGGGAGGGGGAAGCTTGCCTGCCCTGCAAGGAGAGAGCGGTGGGAGGAAAAGAGCGGGCCGGGCAGGATTTTTAGTGGCGCGCTGCTGTCTGTCCGGGTCTGGCAGACAGCAGCATGCCATTAAAAATTGGCTTGTGTGCCGTGTTTGGCATGTGTGCCATAGGTTGCCGACCCCTGGGTTAGGATATTATTCTCAAGCCTCCCTAGGAAAGGAGGTGTAAGGGCTTGGGGGCATATTTTGGGGGAATAGGAACTCCAAGTGGTCCTTTCCCTGAACCTTTGTCTAAATCACTTGGTGGTGGCAGCATACCATCCATCCAAGGACAAATACAGATTTGTGCCTT